TTTGTGTTATACCTCTATATATATCATAGGTGGTATTAATATTTATTCCATAATTAGGTAATCATCCAATATCTAATTAAATTCAGCTGTGAGTCTTTAATATTTTCATGACCATTTACAGTATTTCTACTAATACTCTATTAAATGTTGGCAGACTTTCCTGTACTAAAATTTGCAAAATCAAATAAATAAAGTATTTTCCATTTATACAGTCTCTCTCCTCCCCAAAAACACCTAATTCATTTGGAAAACTTTAATTATAGCATAGCAATAACATTTTCTATTGTAATGTTGTAATTGCTGCATATATTTATCATGTGTGGTGCCAAGCATCCCTAATCCCTTTTTCCACTGCTACATGTGAAGAAAGAAATAGAAATCTATAGGTGTAAGAACACTCAGTACCTTAGTATTACTGTAAGGATTCAGTAACAAAGAACAATGTTATCCATCACCTTCATATCCAGGCCATACTGAAGACGGTAATATACTTTAAACAAGGTTTTGACTGCTAGGCTGTTAAAAAAAATTAATTTTGAATTGACTTAAGAATGCTATACATACATTGATAACACACATCTTTAACGCGGAAATGTCTGGTTTTGCTCAATTATTGTTTGAAACAATGCTTAGAGTTTTCTTTGTTCTAGTCTTGAAAAAGTTATATCAAAATTGGAAAGTATGGCTAAAGCTTCATTATAAAAACATATATGAACATTTAATTTTGATATATCTATGTGTATAAATACACATAATGTTGCTCAATTAAGGAGAACCTAACCTACCACTGATCTGATATCCTTGCAAGCTTATCCTATTGTCATTCATTAAAATAAGAGCCCTCAAAAAGGTTACAAGTAAAGCTTCCCAAGTCCTCCAAATTCCTATTTTCACAACCAAATCATTTTTGTCAGCTCATTTGCCAACATTTTCGTTGTCAGTTTCATCAAGAATTAAAGTACACAGAGAAATAAATAATTCCTGCAGAAATGCAGCTTCTATCCTCTTATCATTCATATGGAATTGTTACATCAATTTTGCAGGAGACTTATGTAATGTGTTAAGCTTCTGAAGTATGCAAATCCATCACCCTGACAGTAGAAAATAAGAGTTTTTAAATCCTGATAATATTTGCTCTTACATTCCACATAGAGGTAGAAAAATACATTTTAGCAATCAAAATGTTGGTGCTCATCTTACAAGTCAACAGTATTAATTTCAAGTCAAGGAGAACCTCCAATTTCTTTTCATAATATTACTGAATTACATATTTTTCACACAAAGAAAATCACACTGAGACAAAACAGCATAGTTAATTCTCAGCTGTATACTCAAGAATATCTACAGTCACTGAAATTTACATACAAATAAGACTAAGCTGTCCTAATATTTGACTGAATATATCCTAAGGTCTTGCATTTCTAGTAAATTAATTGGTATGACAATACCAAGTAGTGTGGCAACTTGCTCCTTATTTATGGCTCATAACATCAATTAAAATCTGATATAGGTTGATCAAATATATCGTAAAATTTATGAGAAGTACAAAATTACCTAATCGATTTTTCAGGCAGTGAGGAAAAAACTGCAGAAGCACAAATTTTTACATGATCTTCTTTGGAAGGGAAGAAGTGAACTACCATCTGTGAATGATACATTAGCTATGTCAGGTGAGAAGATGACGACTGATATGGAGGACATCATAACATAACCGCTCTGGTACCTAAACTACATAATCCCTTTCAAACATAAAATTCATAGCAACAGAACTTGTCACAGGAAAATACAGAGCCTGTATAACATACTCTCAACAGGGCCCAGAGCGCAAAACGACATACGGACACTTTCATTTGTATTAGGAAATCAAACTCTACTGATGATACATGAGAGGGTTCAGTTATTTTTATATAACAGAATTAGTCCTTATCTTCAAGAAATAAAGCAGATACAATAAAATAAAATAAGCACTCTAATTAATCTAAATTCTTTAGTTGCAAGCCAAGTACTTAAACACGGAAAGTTTGACAGCTTGACACAGAAATCTGACAGTTGCCTGTGCAAGCATAGTTGTTCTTCTGCATATGTAGTGCAATTGTAAATGGAAATATATTACTTTTTCCTTATGCAGAGTAAACAGTAGGAGCATAAGGGGGACAGAATTTTATTCATTTAAGTAACCCTCAAAAGATATTGGCACTGTTTTATTCTGCATGTTTTATACTAAGTGAGAATATAAAGAGAGTAACAGCCAGTACAACATCCATAAACACACACAAATAAACAGTGGTTACAAATGGATGCTTTAAAACAGTAGCAATGTAACTACACAAAGATGGAATGAAAGAAAGTCGAAGGAATATACTACTTCCCTTTTACTTAGCCATGACTTCCAGTTAAGAAACGTTAATATTTAATATTTATAGCTCCTTGTCTTGCTGAAGCCCATTACTTGCCCTTTCTCAACTGGCACCCCTTCTCATTTCGTCTTTGCCAACAAGTATCGTCAGTATGATTCCAGTATTCTTTTCACGTGCAGGCAAAGTAGTATAATATGGGACCGGTTTTGTCTGTGGTTCAATGTCTAGTTTTTATAATTACATGCACTTTATCTCAGGATGGGCAAAACAAAGCATTAAAAAAATATATATATATTATCCCCTCAGGCTGGGGGGCGGGGAGGGGGACAAGAACAACAGCACATTCTCTTGCACCCACACATCACAAACACTACAGAGTGATAGCGCTGCTCTTCATTTCACTCCTGGCTGGCCAAGGGGCAAGTTTCCTTGCACCTTTGTAAGTGATTTGGGGGGGAATGGGGGAAGGGGGAGAGAATCTGTTATAGTAGAATCTTGTGGTAAATATAAACCTACTGATAATAATTTTCCTTCCCAGGTTGCGTTTACCAGAGTTTTTAGTAATAAACCATGAAACTCCTAAAGCCTGCAGACCCAGTTAAACAAGATCCTGAATATGCTTTTAGCTGGAAAAGTCAGCTTTGGAAACAATCTCATTAATAAAAGAAAAAGTGGTTACGCTAAGTCTTCATCTTCTATTTGCATCTCTTCTGTGTCACACCAAGAAAGCATCAGTGAATGCACAATGCTCATCCCTGCTCAAAGAAAACAGCAACAAAACCACTTCACACTTACTTGGTGTTAATTCTGGATTTCCTTTCAAGTTCATCATCTTTGGAATTGAAGGCCCATATATGTCTGCATCAAGCAGGCCAACTTCTTTTGTCTGTGTAAAGACCAAAAAAGGTATTTGTCAAAATATCTTTCTTCCTTTAACAATTACTAGTTAAGAAAAGTTTCAAAGCTGCCCTCAGGAATACAAATACGATCTTGATTTTAGACACAGGTTATTACTGTTCCCTTTCTCGCCAAACTGCAATTGAAGCATGAAATACAGTGATGTCCCTACAAGTTTCAGTCAACAGATGTTTTTGCAAAATCTAGATTCTCAGTATGTAAAATTCTCACTCGCACATTCATATTTACAATCCAGAGCAAAGACTTTCTATTGGCAAACATTATAAGCAGTTTTCTTTCTACCCTGCACATATTTATGTAGAAATAAATGTTAACATGTTTTAAAAGGTATCAAATTTTATTTGTAACAAACCGCTACATACATTATTGAGTTATGTTTGCTAGCAGGCTATAAAAGGATGTGTGAAAACGTAAAAATGCATTTTTATCTTTTTTTCTTTATATAGTCTTATCTTTATTACTTAAGTGGCTAGAATCAACTTTCACAAATATCTTGACAATATTAAAATGCAAGTTTATAAAGCCAATTAAGCATGCATGACATTTTATCCACATGTACTTACATATAGTAATGCTAAAAATATGGGATTATTCAACTACATGTTATACATTAGACAATAAACTTGAAAAAAATTTTGATTCAGTGATGCAGTTCAGACTTACAAGATTCATTTCTATATGCTTTTTAAAAAAATTTACATACATACTTCACCAAGACTACGTATTTTTCCTCCTACACATGGCAAGATACTTTACCAAATGTGGTAAACTAAGTAGCAAAGAGTCAGCTCTTTAAAGTGCTAACATCTACTTTCTCTAGTATCAAAAGCTGACTGCATTCAACATTTTGCAAAATCGCAAGCATGTTTAAGGGCTTGTTTCAAAGCCTACTACGGCAACGGGAGCTTTTCCAACAATACTAAGTCAGACTTTCACTGTTCACATTTCAAAAATTATTTTTTGAATGAAGCTTTAGTAATTTGATATCACATTAAGGCATTTGTTATCACAGCTTTGATGGGGAAGATGGAGACAAAGATAAAGGCTCAGTGATAATTATCAGGTTTGTGGTTAGAGGACTGTAAAGAGGCTTTTCCTGCAAGTCTACAGTGTCTCTACCCCTGAACAGAGTTTTTAAATAGAAAGCATATTCTGTTGCATCACAATCAGTTTGAGAAGGTTTTTTTTTTAAAAGCAGTAATGCACCTGGATTAAAAACTCAGATATGCAGGGCACTACTTTTTAATAAATCTGAATTAAGAAAACGTTTTTAATGTAAACACAATAGAGCTGAATTTCAGTTAAAATAAGGAAACTTCCTCATACAAGCCCGGACACTCGAGAAACAAGTCTGATCTTTTTTACTAATTAAAAAAATAAATTTATTTAAAATAAATAACATTTACTTATAAATAATACTTTAGGTTTAGAGGACTTTTTGGATTTGTTTTCTTGTGAGGGGATTCCTTTTGGTGGCATTTGGGGTTTGAGGTTTTTTTTTGTAAATACCGTTGACAGTGAACTTAGGAGATACCCTTAACAGCTAAGCAATTTCACACATCAAATTTACAACACAAATCAAATGCATCTGAAGTTCTACAGGTGAAAAGTAAAAAATGCATTACAGTAAATGAAAAATGCAATATGTACTTTAAAAAAAAGTGTTACTCCAAAAAAAAAAAAAATCAACTGAACATGGGTTTAGTTATTCAATATACTTTTTTTTTATTTAAATAGAGAGCAAAGCATACATAACCACATGGATGATTTCATTTAGATTTTTTAGTATTTATTTCTTTAAAACAGCTTGAGAACGCTATTATAAAAAAAGTTCAGGAGTTACTCTGACATATTATTCTACTTGCCTAATGTACGAAAGCTGCAATTTAAAAGAGAACAGAAAGCCCCATTTTATGTTAGATTTGAAAGACATCAACAACATTATTAGAGCTTCTTTGTTCTTTGACAAAATGCATATTTTAACAGATTATAAAGATTCATGACTCAGTCCTTTTATCTGTGTCAGCAGCTAATCGAACCCATCAAAACATCATCTAAGGGCTGTGCTACCTAATTACTTCTGAAATGAAAGTAAATATTTGCAGAAAAACCTACCCACTGTTTGCAACCTGACTGACACACTTTCCATGGCAACTTTTTAAGGGTACCCCCTCCCACCCCGCCAAAGGATCATGAATATCTACTGACTAACTATGATAGCACTACAGCTCTCTACAATTCTGTCTTCAGCCTAAAAGGACTGCACATTTAGGATGATCTAAATCAATTAGATTGAGGTTATGACTTCTTGGACACTGTTAGGTCTTCACCACCAGAGGCTAATTATTCCTGGGTTTACACAGGAGGCATAGTACC